GGTGTTACAAAAAGTTTTATTGGTTTCTCGCTCAACTACCCCCCACACATAATAATCAAGGTGGGTTCAGTCTGGGGAGTTATGTAGCCAGGTGTAAGGGGTGATGTGGTCGTAGCTATTATCTAACAGCCATGACTATGTTCACCTGTTTGTTTGGCATGGCACAGAGTTCTTTTACCAGACACAGGATTTTCCAACAACCAATCTCTTGGCCCAGCGCAGCACTACCTTCTCAAGGCACTTGATGTAGGTCTCTGTTTCGAATCAAAGGCCCTGTGGGTAGATGAATGGAGGCCTTACGTCGCATTCTCTAGTGATCACTCCAAACGCCTTCGCAATCACCATTAGACTACTTTCCGTATCCTCTGCACTGTGCTCAGATTGACACCCAAACACTCTGAATTTTGTTCGTGTTCGAGCTTCCGGTGCGAATGCCAAGCAGTACAGCATGCCGTTTCCAAATTGAATTGCGTCATGGTGCTCTTTTTTCTCACAGACGATACCCAAATTTCCCTACTATGCTGTGCAGCCGACAAAATCAAAAGCAAATCCGCGAAATTAAAAATATAACATGGCGACAATTTACCTATCGCAATATATATATATATATATATATATATATATATATATATATATATATATAGAGAGAGAGAGAGAGAGAAAATAAAAGGATTGAGAAAAATAACAAAAATGTTGAAATATATGAAGCCCCGTGGGAAGATGAATGGAGGCATGACGCCGCCATCCCTAGTGATCACTCCAAAAACCATGATGTTGACTGGATATATCATCCGACTCTTTCCGAATCCTCAGATTGACACCCAAACACTCTGAATTTGTTCGTATTTGAGCTTCCGGTGCGAATGCCAAGCAGTACAGCACGGCGTTTCCAAATTTCTGGCGGATTGAATGGCGTCATGATTCTCTTTTTCTCACGTACGGTGTCTATCTGACCCTACAATACTGTGCAGTCGACAAAATCAAGAACAAACAAATGCGCGAAATTAAAAATATAAAATGGTGACAATTTACCTATCGCACCCTGTATACATATTACAGTCTGTCTCTTTCTTCCTTTCTATCTATCTATCTATCTATCTATCAACTTATGTATTTATCTCTTTATTTCGGTCTATTCATGTCTGTCTGTCGGCCTATCTATCTATCTATCTATCTATCTATCTATCTATCTATCTCTGTACATATCTATTTACATTACACACACACACACAATAATATTATATATATATATATATATATATATATATTTGTTTTACGTTTGTTTGTCTTTCTTTTTTCTTTTTTAATCAGTGTCACCTCCACCCCTCCAAAGCAAGACAGTTCAGCCACTAAGGCGCAAGTGGTTACAGGCTATGGAGAATTAGAAGCATTAGTATTGAACAGAAAGACAAAAGAGCAACCAGGGGACATTAGATAGCGATTGACATTGCATTCAAATTCTTGCAGATTAAAGTTGGTTGGATGACCTGGAACCAGACAGGTGTTCCACGATGGACAAGAGCGACAAACGAAACTGTTCGCGTAGAAGTTACAACTACATCTAGCCAGCTCAAATGTAAATTCACAGAGATCTCGCCGCTAGTCTAGTATTGCTTTTAAACTCATACAATCTATGTATTATCAGAATGAGCTCATTCAAAAATTACCATAAAAATATTTATAAAAAAAAAGGCACAGAGAGGCAGCCTTGAGGCAGTGCGAAAGTGACTGAGGCCTAACCGCCATATCAGGATCAATAATATTGCCGATTCTTCTTTGGATTTTGTCAAGGAGCTCCAGGTAAATCAAAAGGGTACCAGGCCGTATATTGTAGACAGAGATAGGCAAAATTCAGGTGAGAAGAATTGTCTTGCCAGACACAGAGAAAGGACTTTCTTAGCAGCTGACCTAGCAATGGACTCAATATAGTTTTTGATTTCATTAGAGGTGAGAGGGGCTTAAGTTAGATAGCAAGGACACCGGAACTTATGCGGCAGCAATATTCTAAGCATGAACGAATGGCAGACTTATAGATATGCAAGATAGTTTCCGGAGAGAAAAATTGTCTTACACGAACCGACTTTCCTAGCATTTGATCTAGCAATAGATTCAATATAGTCTTTTCACTTCATATCAGCATAGAACATGAGCCCGAGAAGGCGCAATGAGTCACTTTCCTGGAGAATAGCATCAGTCGTGCTGATGGAAGGTGGAGAAGGGTCTCTCAGATGATTAATTGAGAGACGTTTAGTTTTGGAAGCGTTAAAATCGACAAGCCATTTTCTTGCCCTAGTTAATGACGGTTTTGTTGTTCTTTTGTGCATCAGTTGCCATTTCGACCTTGGTCTGATGTCATTACCTATTCGATAATGAAGATTAAAAACAGCGTAGGCCTGAGGATGGAGCCAGCGTGGACACCAGCATTAGTATGAAAAGATGTAGATGAGTGGCCGTTCAAGACAACTTTCACTTTACGATTGTGTGTGTGTGCGTGCGTATTTGTATGATGTATACTATTATCCAAAATGAGCATATACAGTAGAAAGACACGTCATTTATAGCATTTCTACTTTTCTCATCATCTCCATATACATACCGGAAATTGTGTAATATATATATATATATATATATATACAATTTATATGTATATAATGTATATGTATATAATGTATATAACTGGTGTAACAACAAAATTGTCCAAATGTTAGATTAAGTTCTGAACCGTTGTATGTTAGAAATGATTAAAGATATCTTATTGGAATTCTACGAGGTTATTATAATACTACTGGACACTACTTTGAGCAATAAGACTGTATAACTACTCTTCAAGCTTAACAGAGGAAGCCTGACGATCATAAACAAAATTATATGTTCATCACTAATTAATCATAGCTAAAAATCGGAAGCTCATGACGTATTGAAATAAAATATATATATATATATATATATATATATATATATATATATATATATTATCCCAGGATATTAAAATTTATTCAAGATGATCTTCGCCCTCTCTAACATTCTAACTTTCTGTCCTTGAGTAACAAGTTGCCTCACATGTTTCATGTACGATTTTATTTTCAATTCTTTTTTCACTTCACTTTGGACTGTCATAGCTGAAACTCTTCTGTCACATGCCAAACATCCTAGGAATTGAGTTGGATCTTTTCTGATTGTTCTCTTTAGGTCTTAGTTGAAATGATGATCTCTTTTCCTGTTTGCACCTCCACACGCATTTATTTTCTCTCTGCCATTCCCACTTTTTTAAACTTATTCACCGTTTTCTTGAATAGACTTTGGAAATGGAAGCCGGAGTATGAAGGTTGGTTCCATTGCTGAAAGACAATGATCTTTTTCCTCTCATCATTACTCAGTTGGGAAGACAAAGAGTGGCTGAAACAAAACGATTTTAATCTATTCTCTTTTTAACTGAATAACTCAAAGGGATTTTCAGTGATTCTTACGAAAAAATAGTGTCAAGATGGCTAAATATCTTATCTGAAAATCTGGTTAAACATGTTGTAAGATGGATAATTATGTTTTTAAACGATTTTGAACAATTTTGCTGTTACACCCGGTACATACCAGAAATTGCAGCGTACAAGGCGTAGTTTGGGTGACTGTTTTAGGTCACTGGTAGCCTATTGTCTGTTGTGGGTTGACCTATACGGTAGGTATAAACCTCACACAATTTACCGTACCTTTATATATATATATATATATATATATATATATATTAAGCATTCAACCCTAAGTAAGGCGGGAAGCCACTAGCATGGTAGGGGTTACAGAGTTGGCGCGGAGAACAAAGAGGAGTAATAGAGGAAAGGATGAAGAGCCGGTTAGGGGATAGATCAAGGCATCTGGAAACGTCGATTGACATTACATTTGAATAGTTGGATATTATAGCTATCAGGAAAACAAGAAATGGGGAGGCAGTTCCACAGGCGAGAAGTGCTAGACATGAAGCTTATTTGAGTAGAAGAGCCGGCTACATTTAACAGTTTCAACAGTGAACGGGTGAGAGCAAGATGCCAGCTTAGTTGAACGCTTAAAATCATGAAGTCTGGGAACCAGCGAAAGCAGCTCATCGGAGTAGTTACCGTGAAAGTATTTCTAAAAAAGACAGAGGGGGGCAACGGCACGTCTGTGAGAGAGCGACTGCAGATGAGATGCCAGATCAGGGCCACTTACATTGCATATCCGCCTTTGGATTTTATCAAGGACCTTGAGACAATTAGAAGGGGCACCAGACCATATATGGCAGCAATACTCCATGCAAGGACGAATGGTTGATTTGTAGATTTGAAGGATCGACTCCGGCGAGAAAAAATTCCTGGCGCGGCATAGAGAGCCAACTTTCCTAGCGGTGTTTATATATATACAGTTAATTGCAGTGTAAAAGTTGACCTCAGAATGTCTCGCTCAAAATTTTAAGAGGGAGAAACAGTGAGAGAATTGAAAAAAAATCTACACGTTAGCTATTTTAATAATTAAATTCAGTCTCAGTGCAGACTGTAACTTATCCAAGAGCATCACGGATGAATTCATTCGTGTAATAAATTCATTATAAGTTAATCTTAGAGACAATAAAGTATGTGTTCGTGAGAGTTTAGCTTGCATATATATGTGCAGATAGATAGATAGATAGATAGATTGATTGATAATGAAAAAAATGATAGATAGATAGATAGATAGATAGATAGATAGATAGATAGATAGATAGATAGATATGCATACGTTGTTATGCATATTATCTGATTGTCTTAACATCAATTAGTAATTTTAAATAGATAGATAGATAGATAATGAAAAAGTGATAGATAGGTAGGTAGACAAGGAAAAATGATAGATAGATAGATAGATAGATTGATTGATAATGAAAAAAATGATAGATAGATAGATAGATAGATAGATAGATAGATAGATAGATAGATAGATAGATAAAAAAGTTTGTTATGCATATTATCTGATTGTCTTAACATCAATTAGTAATTTTAAATAGATAGATAGATAGATAGATAGATAGATAGATAGATAGATAGATAATGAAAAAGTGATAGATAGGTAGGTAGACAAGGAAAAATGATAGATAGATAGATAGATAGATAGATAGATAGATAGAAACTGTTTTTTTTCTAGCAAAATATATTTATACGCAGATAAATAAGACAGACATTATGATTTCGAAATAATTTTCGAATGCGAGAGTAAACAATAAAAAAAAGTAAACAATGTTTTTTTTTTAAATGTGACGTAATAAAAGTAATTTAATCCAACTAATTGGGGTAAATCTTTGCAACTGAAACTTATAGCGACGTAAGTAAATAGTAAAAAATGTCCACAAATGAGAAAAGTATTGTCAGTTTGAATAGAAATAATAAGAGACGACAGAATGTATTGAAAGGAGAAGATTGAAAGAAATACCTTCACGAATACGAAGTGAGCGTGGCATTGCAGACATTGAGGAGAGATAGATAACATGCCATTCAAAGAAGGTGGACTATGGCCAATAGATGGCGTTGGCACGAAATGAAATAATGAACCGTGTCTTTAGATAATAAAGAAAAAAAAGTGAATTTTCACTTTTTATGTGGGATTTTGATCTACATCGCGCCTATCATTCTCATAGTGACTACAAACATAAGGCACGAATCTTTGTTTCCTCTCAAAGGAACATATATATATATATATATATATATAATAAATAAAACCTGACGATTTGAAATGTAATGAACTTGTTCGTTTTTGTTTTTTTTGACGTAGAAAAGTACATCAAAAAACGACATTATTACGTCATTATTTTTGCACCAAAAACTGATAGATAGATAGATATAAGATAGATAGATAGATAGATAGATAGATAGATAGATAGATTTTTAGGCACGGTGGAGTAAAATAATCGGCTTGATTGAGATTCCAGTCGAATCCATTACATTCACTTACGTGAAAGGTATGAATCCTCTTCTTCTCCTTACAGCTATGGGTAAATAGAAAGACAGAAAAATATAGCCTTGGATGGCAACTGGTCTAGAAGAAGGACAACACTGAATTCAAAACCTGCTGAGGGTCGTTTGCTTGTGGGTGGTCCTGCACGAAATCTTCACCACTACAATCAAATCTCATGTGCTGTTGTCGGGCTGTCGGTTTCCTGGGAACTGATCTGCTTGACCCTCATACGTCGAATTTGACAGGAGACTCGAGTATATATATGTGTGTGTGTGTGTTATAAGATTCACTAAAAATTAGCATACCTGATGAAAAAAATTTCCAATAATAAAAACAAAGGATTATGCTCAAGGTCTTTCTGTTATCTTTAAAAGAAAAAAAAACATTAGATCATATTTTACTTCCTTTTAGAATAGAGCCTTCAAAATTGTCGGATTTTAATGACATTGTTTTAGAAATATTTCCGTATTAGAAAATCTTCGTAATACATCTGTTTTTATATCTGTCATCCCACTTATATAATTTTATTTTGTCAGGCTTAATGTTTATATTAGTTATAAGCAAAAGTCCTTGGAAAATTTAAATCATTCATTTTTTTCTTCTGTTAAGCAGAAATACCAGCTACCGAAAATTATGCTAGTAATGACCAAATGATTTTTTATTATTAAATTATATTTTGAATCTTTATAGAGCCTTCAAAATTTTGTTTATTATTTTTTTTCTTGCGTGAACGGGTAACTATAAATTACTTTTGGAAGTATTAACGTCTTTTGCCTTGAAAAATACAATGAACTGGATATTCTTGCAAAAATCAAATAATTGTCGGATTTGAATTAAACTTTCAGAACTTATTCACAAATAAATTAAATTAATTTAGAATGTTTCCTTTTTAGAAAATCTTGAAACATTTTTTTACATCTTTTACGCGCCTCACCACCACTTATTTAATTTATTTTGTGGGCTTAATGTTTATATTAGTTATAAGCAGAAGTCCTTGTAAAGTTTAAATCATCAATTCTTTCATTTTGTAAAGCACACACCAGTTACTGAAAATCTGCTCTGAATTGTAAAATAAAAAATGCAATAAAATTAAGCTATAATTTAATTAGAAAAGTTTTTAATTGCTTTTATGTATAAAAGATACATTGTTGTCTTAAGATAAAAAATTCGATGAATAATTCATTTTTAGAATTGTTTCCATATTTTAAGAATTAAATTAGAATATTTCATAAAGTTTTAAAGCTTTTGAAATCCCGTATCAATTTGTACGGGTTGGGTGATATTAATATTAAGTAATAATGATCTTAACTAATCGTAAATAGAAAATCTCACTAAAATTCAGCGACATGAAAAAGAATTTTGAATTTTGCGTGTGTGTGTGTGTGTTTGTGTATAAACGTGCCAATTTTTGTAAATGCGGACGTCCATACACGATATTATCAGCAAATAAGAGCGGTAACTATAGTTAATTTAAAGCAAAGTACCTAAAATTCAATTAAATAATAGAATGCTTGGAATAATTTGCTGAAGTCTTAATATTACTGAGTAGTTAAAACAAAATTATATAAAATAAACACCACCTTTATAATCGTCAAGTAATTTTTACAGATATGCCCCCCGTAGAAAAAATTCCAAACATGTCTATTCAGGTAGTTGCCAACACCTCATAAAACACCCACTTCCACTTTAAAAATACTTTTCTGCGACATTTTAAACTAAAATTAAGTAAAATTTGATTCAGATCAGATTAATTAAATTTTAAATCAGTTAATCTTCATCAAAGAAAGTTTCAGTAAATTATATTTTATTTTTATTTTTTGCATAAAGTGAATTAAGTTGTGCTGAGAGGATTGTAAATATGGCAAAAATCAGCTATTTTTAGTTATTTAAAAAAAACAAGCTCATTCCGATTATTTTAAAATTTGTTTTGAAATGCAACAAATTATTTTACTTATATATATATATATATATATATATATATATATATATATATATATATATTTTATATATATGAACTTTATTTCAATACGTCATGAGCTTCCGATTTTTAGCTATGATTGATTAATGATGACCATATAATTTTTGTTTATGATCGATTTCGTCAGGCTTCTTCTGTTAAGCTTAGAGAATAATTATACAGTTTTATTGCTCAAAGTAGAGTCCAGTAGTGTTATAATAACCTCAGAGAATTCCAGTAAGATATCTTTAATCATTTTTAAGATACAACGGTTCAGAGCTTAATCTAACATTTGGACAATTTTGTTGTTACACCAGTTATATACATTACATTATATAAATTATATACATATACATTACATATATATATATATATATGTATATATTTCACTTCTTCTTCCGGTATGTATGTGGAGATAATGAGAAAAGTGGAAATGCTATAAACGACGTGTCTTTCCAATTTGTCTCCTCATTTTGGATAAAAGTATACATTCTACAAACACGCACTTCATATATATATATATATATATATATATATATATATATATATATATATATATATATATATATATATAAAAAGAGAGGGAGAGAGAGAGACTTAGAGACAGACAGACAAACAGAGTTTAAGGTACTTTACACGCAAACGTTGAAACTTGAAATGCTCTTTTTCATATACAAGTATTTGATTAAATATGGAATAAATAGAAAAGCCTTACAAATTTGACATATTTCGCTGTGCGCCCGAATTTTGGAAGGAGATGTTTCGAATTTTTTTAAATTTTAACTTTTTTATCGCTACCATTTAAAAAAGTAGACTCACACACAGACCTCAAGAGATAAACACAGAACGCCCACTAGAATTAAGAAATATTCAAATGTATACTACAAACATAAGAAATTAACACGTGAAATTCACAAAAAACAAACGATAAATTTAAAAAAAAAAACAAACAAAAACGAAACATCTCCGACCAGCTGAATTCTTCAAATTTCCCGATGAATCTAAAATAAATCGCGATTTTTTGAAAAATTTATGAACATGCTATTTTCACTGGTACCCCGTATACATGAATACTAGGTTGGCATCTCGGTTCCACCCTTTCACTGTCGAAACAGTTAAATGTAACCGCCTCTTCTACTCCAACAGCTTCTTCTCTCGCGCTTCCCGACAGTAGAACTCCCTTCCTCTTACTTGCTTCCCTGATAACTATAATCTTCAAAAATTTAAATGTAATGTCAATCGACATCTTCTGATGCCTTGATCTTGACCCCCGTCCTTCTCTTTATCCTTTCCTTAAACACTTCTCATTACTTTTACTTTTACTCTCTGTAACCCCTTGCTTGCTAGTGGCACTTGCTTGGGGTGAAATGCTTTTAAAAAATTGTTAACCCTTTGAGCATTGCGTTCCTAAACAATTCTAACCCTTCTGTCACAGCCCCTGAACCAAAATTCGCGAATAATTGGCATGTAATGTTTCACGGTAGATATAAAAATAGTTACAAGTGTTTACCCACCGTTCGACCGGTTACTGGTTGTTAAGTCATTTTTCTCTACCACCGGTAAAGGGGTGGTCAGGGCTTTAAATGTTAAGTGTTAAAGCTCATATTATAATTCGGACTGTTCCTTAGTTAGCGTTTCAGTTACGCCTCGCCATTACCTCAGATAAATAATAGACCATTACTCTTTGGCTGCGAGGATGGACGGAAGAAATGATATATCAAAAGCCCTTTTTGATTTTAGGTGAAAGAAAGAAAGAAAGAAAGAATATAGAGGGGTGATAACTCTCACATATGTTTAACGCCTTCTTCGGTGATAAAACTCTTTTAATTTTAATCTTATTATTTATACACACTTATTTAAATAGTGACCTCAACTCATATTTATGATTGTTATTGAGATATTTTGTTAAAGTTGTTAAGCTCAAATATTTGAGGATGCAAGAGGGGGGCGCTGAAAACTCCACTCTTCATCGCGTTTTCCTAGAAATCGCAAAATACTTATTTAATCATTAACTTGACAATTCTGATTCATCAGAATATTTAAAGAGGAAAATAATGATAATTTCCCTTGTATTTCTAATCATTATTTCCTTTTTTATTTTGTTAAATTCAACCCAAGTAAGGTGATAAAGCCACTAAGACTGGGAGTGAAAGATAATGAACAGAATTTAGAAGGAACCGGAAAGCCTAAACAGGAAACTTTTGGAAATGTATTTACTTTCATTTGAATTTTTATTTTATTTTTTATTAGATGAAGTAATATCACTTATTATTATAAGGCACTAATATACAGAAAACTTAAAGCGATTACTTGGTTATCTATTTTAGTGCATCAGGTTACTTAAAATTATTAACGTAACGCAATTATGTGTACTATTTAAACAAATTGCAATCATTTATATTATTGCCAACTTTGACAGTGTCTGACATTCAGGTCTTCAACACAGGTTGAAAAGTTACGGTGTCTCCGGACACTTTTTTGAACTGATCCAATGTTTCCTATCAAATAGTGAAATGAGCGTTATCCTGAACGGCCACTCGTCTAGATCATTTCGTACTAACGTAGGTGTCCCCAGGGCTTCATCCTTCATCCTGCTCTATTTTAAATTTTCATTAATGACCTTCATGATGACATCAGATCTCAACTTGGTATCTACGCTGACAACACTAGCATTTACACTGGCTCGATAGTAAGGTTAACAGACAAGGTAAAAGTGGCAGCTGATGGACGGTAGTTAACTGCGGCAAAAGATGCCTTGTCAATTTTAACGCTTCCAAAACTAAACTCTAAATTAATCATCTTAGAGACCCTTCTCTACCTTCCATCAGCATGACTGATGCTATCCTCCAGGAAAGTGACGACTCATTGCGCCTTCTCATGCTCATGTTCTATGCTGATATGTAGTAGAAAGACTATATTGAATCCATTGATAGATCAGCTGCTAAGAAAGTCGGTTCGTGCGAGACAATTTTTCTCTCCGGAATCTATATTGCATATCTATAAGTCTACTATTCGTTCATGCTTAGAATATTGCTGCCACGTATGTTCAGGCGCCCTTGCTATCTAACTTAAGCTCCTTGACATGATCCAAAGAAGAATCTGCAATATTATAGGTTCTGACCTGGTGACTCAGCTTCAGGTTGCCTTTTTATGTTTCTTTTTCATTTTTCTTTTTTTTTTTTTTTTGCAAATATTTTCATGTTAATTGTTCGAATGCGCTCTAAATTATGATACCTAGAGGTTTTTTTTAATTTAAGCGCAGCATAAGACTAGAGTCGAGATCTCATTTATTTACACATGAGCTGGCCGTAGCTTCTATGTTAACAGTTTCTTCTCTCGCTTTTAGAACTCCCTTCCGGCCCCATGCTTTCCACCCAACTTCAATCTGCTAAATTTTAAATGCAATATCAATCGCTATATACTGTCCTCCTGGTTACTAGTCATCTTTAATGTTTCTTTTTGTAATAATTCCACACTTGTAACCTCTTCTGTTTCAGTGGTATTATTGCCTTGTTTGGGGTGATTCCGATTAAAAAGAATAAGACGTCTTACATTTATCTAAATAGCGAAGTAATCGTTCTAAGTAACGAGGTTAATCAAATAAGTGCTTCAAAATTTGTTGCGTTATTATAAATTTTGGCAAGTGTTTACTTTCATCTTTTTATTTTCTTTTCTTTTTCTTTTAATGAAGTATTATTAACCTTTATTTTTTTTTTAACTCAAGGACTATGTCACTTGTCCATGAAGTTGAGAGACTTGTTTAATGTATACATATTGTTTTTTAAATCTTTGTTTCGAGTTTTGATTTTTCCTTTGCGTGTTTTTTTTTTTTTGTTTTTTTTTGTCTTTTCCCAAATTCACTCACGTCGAGCATTCTTTCTGAAGCCGAGTGGCGCCATCAGTCGATGAGCGTCAGATTCGTGTCTTGTTGGTGAGTTATAAAGAGATGCAGTGTAGTCGACTGGCCAATCACACGGACAAACGGACGTGCAATCGTCTGTGAAGGAACGTCAACGACTGAATTGGCTTCACCATCCGCAAAACGGAAACATCGAAAACGACGGACGGAGAAACGAAATGGAATGACTGGCGAAATTGAGAGGCAAATGGAAATACAAATAAAGAAAGAGTGAGGGGGGATGGCGAATGAGAAACGCATGGACGGACAGTCAAGCCTAATTATGTTTAGAAAAGGAAGCGCTATTAAAACCTTCATGAAAAATAAGAGACCTTCTCGTTTAACTATTGTAATTTCTCTTGTGCTAGTTACGACATGCATCACTGATCGTCAGCACAGAAAACGGAGCTTGAAAAGCGAGTTCGAATTCCGCGCGGTTCTGTTCAAATTCACTTAGCACTAATACCTTTGGAAAAGACATTGCTGTGACCGTGTAATTGGTTAAGAAATAAAAAAAAACAAGAAGTTAATAAGAAAAGCAGATCGAAGTTAACATCGTAAAACAGAACTCGGATAACGCCGAAAAGCAGAATTAGATTAACGCCAAAACATAAATAGCGTATTGAACAGTAAATACAACAGAAAGAAGTCTGTTACACGACTTAGGAGTGTGTATTGGTTGAGCAGCGTTCAGTCTATATAACTGTTATATTTAACAACCCCCCCACCCCTACGAGGGTTATATGTGGCACAAGGCTGTGTTTAACGTGAGTCATCCGAACCCGTAGGCTTGACCAAAAAATCCCCGTAGAACCCGCATAACGTTATCGGGTTCGGGTCTGTCTACCTCCCCAGACGAAACTGGGCCCTTCAGCACAGGCTCGTCCAGGTTCCTTTCTGCCCAAGGCAAGGGACTTCGACAGGAGCTGGATTATGAAATTCTATTTGCAATATGAAGTTCGTTCTGTTTTGGCGTTAATCTAATTCTGCTTTTCGGCGTTATCCGAGTTCTGTTTTACGGTGTTAACTTCGATCTGCTATTCTTATTAACTTTGTTGGATGAAGTCTACTTCTTGGTCTTGGCGTAGTTTTTTTTTTTTAAAACTTGGAGTTCTTGTACTTGGCAGAAGTCACGTGGGCAATCTCAGCGAGCTGGCCGGTCTTCAATACGCACTCTTAACATAACTCGACGGAATTCTTCGCGTTTTTCCTTGCGCGTTTTCTTATATGGGTCCTCACTCCATATTGGCGTGGGGCAAGACCTGGTCTGGAGTTTCGGTGATTCCCCTAAATCCAATAAAGGTTCAGTGTCTAAAACTGCTTACGTTTCCAAATTTTGGTAAGACCTCCACATTTGCGGGGTATGGTCGCAGGATATCGATCCGCCCATACTCATTCTCTCATCTATTGGCATCTTATACTAACACCTTTCGAGGGGCGTTAATAATTCCTCCATCTTTACAGTTCTCTTAGCTGTGCCCTTCACTATGGCTTCCACCCGGCCAATGGCTTCTCGATCTTCATGATGCAATTCAATTTTCCTCATTAATTAAAAGACTTTATCAACGTTTTGCTTACGTAAAGTTTTCCGGCTTTTCAGTATTAGAATTAAAATTATCATTCGGAAATTTGCCTACGCAAATCTTTTTCTCACCTTGTCAAAATTCTAGTATTTAACGTATGGCCCTTCTTGATCAGTCATTCCTTAAATTCTATGCCTGTTTACCAAGAACCTCTGTTTTCCACTTCTGGATGACATATCGTATCTGCGTTGATTGTAGACATTAGATATCCTGAATTAACACTTCTTTAACGCCCCTCTGCTTTCTATTGTGTTTTGATAATCAACATTTTTAATGACCATCATTCATCAATTGTCATTATTGCCTATTTGTAAAATTACGGCTTTACACACTTTCTTGTTTTATAAATTTAAGACTCGATTGTTCTCAGCTCCGGGTCCGTCGACCACTCTCCTAGATGAGTCAGTCCATCCCGATTATCTCCAGCGCTTTTCGTAATTAATTACTCTCACAGTTGCCACATAACTATTATCCTTTCCACAATTCTCATTGTCTGTGAATCTTAATTACTTAATACAATCTTTTTCTTCATTGTAGCCGATCAGTCTATCCTTCATTATATCTCCTAATCCCTATTTTCCAGCATTAAATATTATAGCTGATCAGTCTATCTTTTAATCCTTATTTTTCAGCGTTAAACATCTTCCAGTGTTAAATGGTGTCACATTATTTGCTGGTCACGTGGTATCCAGGAGTTGATTGATCGATTCGTTTTCCAAAGCTTATCAACCCTTTTCAGGTTATTAAACGACAAAAAATATTTTTAGATTGTAAGAAATATTTTTGGTAGTGTAGGGAGAAATATAATGATTTTAGTGATACAATTCGTACTAATTAACTCATAATAGTGGGGAGTAGTGGTGGGTTCATGCCTTTCCTAACGGTATTTGCACGTAAGTGATTATAACAAAACCAACTGGAATTGGAACTCGGCTCTCCGATTAACAATTCCGAGTCATTGTCCACTACACCACCCACACAACTCAGCTTACAGTTCTTGGCATTTTCAAGCGCTCACACATCTAGGTACTGACCGGGCTCGATGTTGCTTAACTTAGAGGATCGTACAGGAACCGGCGTCTCAGGATAATGTGGCCGTCAGCCCTTATCCATGAGTCGAGAATCATCTTCTTGTCACTGATGAAATTTTAATTGATCTGCTGACCTCATCTGTTCTGACTATCGATTCAAAGTCGTGTCGTGAATGAATAGAGATTTAACGAAATGGCTGCTTCCATTATATTTGTCCTGTAGACTCTCAAGCTACCTCTCAAAATTGTCCCATTTTTTAAATTTCAGATAATCTGATTGGTTGAAAATAATCCAAAGAAGTAACTCTCTACTAAATCCTTTTTTTTTTTTTTTTTTTACAGAAGATTACATTGTTATTATTCTGAACCAGAAACAGCATCACCATGATCAGGAACATGAGCAAGGCTTATCCCAAAAGTCCCATCCGGGCACCTCATTAATTGGAAAAATAGAGTAGGTGACAGATGGCGCGCGCGCCCGCGTGTGTGTGTGTGTGTGTGTGTGTGTGTTTTTAATCGGAGTCACCCCAAGCAAGGCAGTAATGCCACTAAAACTCAAGGGGGTTACACTTTGTGGGAGAATTAGAAACAGAAACATTAATGGGGAGCAGAAAAAGACTAGAGTAATCAGGTGGATAGTAGATAGCGATTGACCTTGCATTTAAACTTTTGCATTCTATATTTACATCTGTACGATTCTTCATCAGGCCTGAAGTAAAGGTCATTTATGTACCCTGTCTCTTGAGAACGCGAGCGATCATGACTCTCCACAACTTCCTCTTCTTTGTAGCTTTGAGTAAGTTTTGTCTTCGTATCTCTCCCACTCCCTCTTCTACCATTTATTTACACAAACTCATTAGGTATGTTACTCGCTAATTACCTATGTCCCCCTTTCTTTAATATATCTTTTGAAAGTTCAATTCTCCAAGCCTTTTTCCTAATTATGTGTTCTAGAAATTCTAACTGTCTCTTTTTCATTTTAAGTATGAGCGTCCATTTTGTTTTGATTTTCCTCAAAATATCCTCGGTACTCACACGCTCCGTAACTGCTATTCTCATCATCCTACTGTGGAACCACATTTATGTTACCACACGTGAAAATGTCCAGAATTCAGAATGGGAGAACTAATATTGCATAGCAGTTGAGCACTCTTTTCTGTTTCTAACGAAAATTTCTTGTTTCTTAATACTTTACTTAGCTTTTGGAAGGCGACTTTCTTTATCCTAATGCGTCTTCGGATTATGGTGTCGAACATTGCGCCCACTATTAAAACACTTCTCAGATATTTAAATTATTGTACTTGTTTTAAATTATTGTACTTGTTTGATTTTAATATCGCCAAATCAATTTTCAAAATAAGTATACACCAGATGTAACAGCAAAACTGTCCATTTGTGGGATTAAGCTTTGAACCGTTGTAGCTCGGAAATGATTAAAGATATCTTACTGGAATTCTTCAATGTTTTTATAACACTACTAGACTCTACTTTGAGCAATAAGAATTCATAATTACTCTCCAAGTTTAAAAGAATAATCGTGATGAATTTGATCATAAACGAAAATGACATGTTAATCATTAAGGATCGGAAATTCATTGAAATAAAGTTCAAATATATATATATATATTACTCCAGGATCATTTTCAAACTCATCCAGAGTGATCTTCGCCCTTTCTAAACTTCTAACTTTCTGTCCTGTAGTAACAAGTAATTTTCAAGTCTTATTTTTTACTGCTGAAACTTCTTTCTTATGAACCAAACGTCTTATGAACTGAACTGGATCTTTTCTAATTGATCTCTTTAGCTCTGAGTTGAAATGATGACCACTTTTCCTGTCGTGACCTCCTGATCCAGTTTTCATCTCTACTGTTTCCTCTTTTTTTAAATTTATTCACCGTTCACCTGATGGTTCTTAAATAGTCTCTGACGATGGAAGTCAGAGTAATTTCCTCTCACCATTGCTCAGTTAGGAAGACATAGTAGGGTTGACACAAAATGATATTAACCTGTTCTCTTTCGAGCTGAATACCTAAAAGGGATTTTTCAGTGATTCTTACGACAAATGCTTTCAAGATGGCTAAACATCTGAAAATCTGAAAAAAAAGAAGAAATTCAATTAGGTTATTGGTTCCTTAGATATTAAAAAATGTTGTGGGATGGACAATTATGCTGTTACACGATTTGGAAAATTTTGCTGTTACACTCGGTACATGTATATATATATATATATATATATATATATATATATATATATATATATATATATATATATGTCTGTGTGTTTACCTGAAAATTTCATTCTAGCATGAAAAGACTGTCGCCCTCGGTGCTGAACTCTGCTTACACTCATATATATATATATATATATGTGTGTGTGTGTGTGTGTGTGTGTGTGTGTGTGTTAGGTGCAAAATAATGACGTAATAATGTCGTTTTTGAGGTTAAAAAATACGTCACAAAACGACATTATTACGTCATTATTTTTGCACCAACCTAATATATATATATATATATAATATTAAAATGTTTTTATTGGGATCTAAAATATTTTAATAATATTATATTTTGCTCTACATTTTTATTGAGCACTTTTAAAAAGTAAATGCTAAGAACTGTGGATTCTAACTCCATCTGTTCTTTCACTTTC